GTCTGTTGTTCACTATTGATTAAGAGCTGATGGAAATTCAGCTAGCCATGAAGTGGAGGAGCAGCACATTGCATGGAGTTACTGTAAGCAAGGTTACCCTCAGGATCTTTAATGACCGTGAAGAAGTCAGATGAGTTTCAAATCTATTCTAAAGGATGGAATCTCCTCATAATGTTCTGTATCAAAATACAGTGGTTTAGATTTCCCAGGGGTCCATCAATTCCATGTACATCAGCATCGTAATTTTCCTTAGAGTTCTCTCATCCCACTACTGACCATGTTCAGCCTTGTTTGGCTTCCAAAATCTAACAAGATCAGTCTACAAGGTGACAACACAGAGTAACAAATACCTTCTTTGGTACATATTTGATTTAAATTTAAACAAAATATTTTTTCTGACAAAAGGACATGATGAGGATTAAAAATACAGTATATGGTTAAACAAATAGGTGCAATTATTACAGAAAAAAACAAGCTACAAACACGTCTATAGTACGTCACAGGGCCCTAATGCCTCACATTCCATAATTATGATGAGATGATGTTCCTTTAACACCTAAATATATTTTTTGACTGTTCTGTTGTAGGAGATGTGGGTTTTAATTTTCTGTAACAATCAGAAATTGTAACAGTAATTTGCAAGAGTACTTGATGATTTTTAGGAACCAATCAAACGCATTAATTCACAGTCTCACACAAGGATTCTAAATACACAATATGTAATTTATTGATATAACCAAATCATTCAAATCAAGCAACAAATATAACAGAATCTGTCTTTGACACAACCTGCTGTGATAAGAAAGTTGATTGTTGACGCAGGAATTACAAAATTCAGATTTAATAACTTCAGAGTTAAAATACGCATTGACTATAATGTGTAACAGTCTAGGTTCTATAAGTCTCATATAAATAAATCACATTTATATCCTCAGGCAAAAGTAAATATGCATTTACTTTTGTGAACTAAACATCAAACATGCTTTTGGAATAATAGTTCAGCTCTCAAAAATTATAATGTGAATAATGAAGTTTCCTACTCCAAGAATTCGTTGTCCAAACATGCTTGATGAGTTTAAGCTTCATGCTGATACAACAGGGCTGGCCTGGATTTGTCGGTGGCAGCTTCTCTATGCTGGGAAAGTCCTGATACAGACAGAGGAAAGAGAGAAAAAGCTTTTGTCTTGCTATGCTTAGCAGCTTGCACTGGCCTCAGAACAGCTCTGTCAAAGTAGCATCTTGCTGACTTTGGTCTTTAAAAAAGTCTATGCACAGTTTTTGCTTTTGAGATCAGCCACAAGATAGACAATGGGAAACGCGGTTCATTCCAGCTATAGCTTTTATTCAGAATATGCTAAGAGAGTCCAACTGACCAATTTCATTGATCAGGAAAAAATAAGTTTTTTTCTATTTCAGGAAGAATATCTTGGGCACAATTCTGTACCTTACTGATTCACTCTCTCAGCATGGCGTCTTGAAGAAAAGTTCAAGTCCTGACTCAGACTGCTTGCAGTCACATGGTTGTAAAAGTCAGTTTGCCAATTTGGTCAGTGAGTTAAATGTTAAAAAATGGTGGTGGATATTCCTTTGGGTGATGGATATTGACTTTTGATCTGTAAGTTTGGAAAGAAACCATTTAGGAGACATGTCCTAAATAATAACTATTCATTAAATAGACAAAGTAAATACATTTGGACATTCAACACTCATAATAATAATATAGCATCCACCTGGATGATGCGATGGCAGCCAAAGTCGACCAGTGCACTCACCATACATCAGCTATCAATGGGGGAGAGAACAGAGTAATCAAACCAATTCATAGGTGGGGATTATTAGGGGGAGATTGTTAGGGGATCATGATTGGTTAAGGCCAGGGGGAAATTTGGCCAGAACACTGGGGTTAACACCACTACTGGGTTTTCATTGGGTTTTCTAATGACCAAGGAGAGACCATCTGAAGGACAGCATCTTTTTTACAGTATAGTGTCTGTGTAGGTCCTAATGTCCCCGTATATTTCACAATCCACAAGCATATTCCACAAGCGTACATAGACATTACACAATTATAGATAGATTAGAAAATCCACTTCCATATATTGCACACCAGTTGTAAACACAACACCAGTTGTAAACCGAGGACTCAGGTTTAGTCCCAAACCAGGTCAATGGTTGCCCCTGCCATTGTATGCGTTGTAAAGTCTTATAATAGTAGGCAAGAATGACCTCCTGTAGCGCTCCCTGTTACACCGTGGTTGGATCAGCCTATTGCTGAATGTGCTCTTCATTTTGGAAAGCACGTCGTAGAGGGGGTGGGAGACATTGTCCATGATGGTCGATAACTTGAAGTAAATGTTCCTTGAGTTTATCAGTCTCTCATAATGTCTGGACCACTCCTCCTAACAAAACTGCTTCAGTTTGGTGATGTTAGAAGGCATTCTTTTATACACAGCTTTCTTTAGGTCCCACCACAGCATCTCAATGGGGTTTGTTGTAGGTTCACATGAAGCAAAGAATGACACGGAGGCAGGTGTGTAGCAATGAACTATGTATTAAAGAAAAGTTATATTGTACAGCACATTACACTACCGATCTGACATCTTTCTCTCACACTAGCTTTCTCCAACTGTCCCCCAGTTCTCTCTGGTTTTCTCTCTATCTTTCTAGCACCAACACTATAACATTCCGATGGCTCCTATAACCTTGGAAAACGGGTAGAGCCACCTGGTGGACTATTACATGTAATAACAACATTTATACATTTCTATATCACTTTATTACAGGGTTGATCTCTGGACTTTTACTTGGCCATTCCAAAATTCTGATTCTTTTCTTTTAGGTGTAGGTTTACTGCTATGTTTTGGATCATTGTCCTGTTGCATGATCCACTTTCTGCTAAGCTTTAGCTGTTGGACAGATGGTCTCACATGTTCCTCTATAATGCGCTGGTATAGAGAGGAATTCATGGTGGACTCATTGATTGTGAGGCGTCGAGGTCCTGCAGCTGCAGAGCAAGCCCAGATCATCACCCCTCTACCACCATGCCTGATGGGTGGTATCAGGTTGTTGTAGAGATAAACAGTGTTTAATTTTTGCATTATGTCATTTTGTATTATGACCAATCAACTCCACTTTGGTCTCACCTGTCGAGAGGATTCACCTGTTCCAGACGTCTTGTGGTTCATTCAGGTGCTGTTTTGCAAACCTGACATGCAGCAATGTTCTTTTGGGGGAGAAGGGGTTTTCTCCCCTTCCACTAAAGCCGTTCTTGTTCAGATTTTTCCTAACATTTGAATCATGATACCTGATGTTTACCATATCAACAGGGGCCTCTAAATCCCTGGATGTAGCTTTGGGGTTCTTTGGGTTCTTTCAGAGTATCATACGGTCTGATCTTGGGGTGAACTTGCTGGGAAACCCACTGCTAGGTAGATTGGAATCCACCTTGAACTTTCACCATTTGTAAATTATCTTTCTCGCTGTGAAATGATGGACTTCATACTGTTTGGAAATGGCCCTTCCCAGAGATAAGTAGCAATATTTCATTGAGACAGTCACATAACTTTTGACCGAGGCACGATGTGTTAACACAAACCTGAATGCGCCAGACCAAACTGATAGTTTCTGAATTTATATACAGGTGTAAACTCACTTAGTGATGATCAACCACCTTTCGTAACTGATATGCAAGCAGTAAGGTTGCACTATTTTTTCATGCATTCTTCTTAATATTAGTTGATTTTTTAATAAATAATATCAAAGTACAAGTTATTTGTCACATGAGGTTAGATGTATCTATTGTTGGGACCTGGTGAGTACTAGGTGAAGGTCAGCTACGTCTTAATATGTAAAACCATAAAATCTTAAGAGGGTGTACTTTCTCTTTCACACCACTGTATATTCAATACCACAGAGTGAGCCCCGAATATCTGGATACCTTGGCCCACTTGTTTTTTTTAATAAAAATATTCCTCCATCCGCATGTTTTGACCACATGCCTGCGATCTAAAAATAAAAGATCTAATCATTTATGGCCTTTTATTCAACATCACTTTTGAAGAAAGGATCTCGTATGTCTGGCTTTTCAGAATACAACACGTATTAGAGGCACTAACAGATACTTATTGGAATGAGCTACTCTTCCTGACATTCTAATCTTTTCTTGGTACTCGTGTGTATGACTGGTTAGAATGGAAAGTGTCAGTTATTTCCAGCTCTGTATTTGCTCTCAATTTTCCTGTTCCCTCCCTTTGGAACTTTTCATTTTCAAGTTTGTTACTTGCCAACTTAACCAGTCTTTACTTTTGATTAGCCAGTTTCTGTTTCTCTTCTACATTATATGTTGGCAAAATTCATCTTTCTCAGTGCACACTATCACTCCTGGCCTCCTTCCTGTCTTGGGCTTATCTACTCAGTGCAGCAACCTGTCTTTATGAGAATACAACCACGTTCCTCTAAAGTCAACTAACTGTTATTCCCTCTTGTCATTAAAGAGCAGCATTAAGTTTGGATTTTTCAGTTTTAAATGTTTTAGTTGAGTGATACGCACCAGCTATAATCTCAATGCTATGGTAAAGTTTACAGCTTTCCCCACTGTATAATTAAGCAGTTTACTCGGTACTGTCAGGCCAAGAATGTTTTACTTGTACTGCATGACAGCCTTATGACTTGCAAATCAGCACCTTAAAAAAATGCCAACAGCCATTCTTCCACATTGTGTCTAAGGAAAAAATTGAGTACTCGCCCCTCAATGACAGTTATCAAGTAAATAATTGGAAATTATTTTGTTCTCCTGTAACGAGGTCTTTTACTGTGTTACTGAAATTTTAAAACCTATAGTGTTGCAAGTCACTTCAACTCCTCCTGGAAGAGGCAATAACTTCCTGATTTAGTACTCAAGCATTTATCATTTCCTCAGTTCACAACTAGCTTCAACAACCATTGCTTAAAATCAGCTGAAATTTTAAATAAAAAATTAAACATGAAGGACAAGGGTAGGCTTAGTTGAAAATGGCTTTATTGACAATGTGGATTTTTTGTAATCAGTGGCTTTAAAAGAACAAGTATGACACTTAAAACAAAGGTACTGTTCCATGTATACAAGTGCTTACTAAAAGTATGTCATGTGTAATAAATACAAAACAAATATCCAAAACCAGATGCAAAGGATGTTTTTGGAGTTCCTCAATTTTAAAAACAAATCCTAAGACCTTAAATTTCAAACTATCATAGTCCTTAGCTGTTTCTAAAGAAAAATCAACTATTAATGCAATTAACCAGTTTTTCCCCAGCCAAAAGCTCAAATAGCTCCAACTTTCCAGTATTTCAATGGGGAAGTCACACTGAATGTGTGAAATTGTTATGATTGTATAACTACCCCTTATTGTCAAAGGTAAAAATGTAAAAATATACTGTATTAAATCAGTAACATTCACTAAGTTGCAAGTGAAAAAAAAAGGTTTATCAGCAGTCTTTAAAATATAAACAATTTAAGAATAATTATACAAGATTAAACCTTCATAAATAAAAATTACACAGCATTATTTAAACCACTAAACAGACCAACACTGGAGAGTGTTCTTTTCTCTACTCAATGGGCAATGGATGTTTAGATTTATCTCAAGAACTCCAACAGTTAATACATTTCAGGTTACCTACTGTATAAAACTGCTGCACAATGGAAGCTGAGGACCAGAGCAGGGTAACGCTCGAGTACAGTACATACACTGCAAAGCCACAATTCAGTCTGTTGCCAAACTCTCCAGGTATTGAGATAAGAAGACAATGTTTAACACCTTTCACAGTTTGAACACAAAGCGTAGCATCAAAAGCTCACAATCCTGATGTATTGTAACGCCAAAAAGCGGCTTTCAACACCTTTCCATTGACATGGTTGTAAAGTTTTGGTCTAGCGAACATGTTTGTGCGGCAGTCCTTAATTTCATACCCTACACTGGACTATTACACACATGTGCTGCACGCATTTCAGTTCCGATTCATCTATTGAAAAGCTGACGGCTCCGTTGTAGAAACTGCCAAGTATTTTAACATTCTCCTCAATCTTGAAAGCACATGGCTGCAGAATTCTGAGTTTAAGTGTAAAGCTCACAGTTAATCTCAAACCATGATATGTTCAAGAAAAAAAAAAGATACCAAACTCTCCCAGAACGAGAAACTTCATTTTTGCATTCCTTACACCAACGAATTTGACAGAGTTAAATCTTACAAACTTATACAAAACCATGGTGCAAACTGCAGAATAGTAGAGAAAATACCCCAAAATATACACACTGATAGGCACTAGCTGAAAATAATTCAAACCTATGGAAAATAGAAAGGAGGTATTACAGTTGCATCAGCTTTTATAAAATTAAGAGTTTTGATGATGGCTTCTCAAGTTTTTTTTTTTTTTGAAACTGTGATATTAGAATCCAGGCAATTATCTTTGGTATTAGAGGCAAAAGTCTTAAATTTAGAAATTACTAGCCATGTGCCTGTTTGACACTATAGGATTCCAAAAACATTTTCAGACAAAGCCCTTTTGGAGCAATTCCTAGCAGAACAGCAAAAATGCAGCAAAAGCATGTCTGGATCTTCCTGAAGTGAACACAGAACAGGAACAGTAAAGAAGGACTATTCAACGTTCAGGTCTTCGGAAACTATCCAAGCGCTGTTGCCTACAAAGCTAGTAATTACCCTGAAACACATGGAGTAAAGATTATGTACAGACCAGTGTCTCTGTGGTGTAAAGCTCAGTTTTTTTACACTATATACACAATGTGGCCCCAGGTCACAGTTCATTGCTGTTGGTTCAGTTGGCACTAGCAATTCGGGAGTCTGCGCCAATAGAGTTGAGCATCGTTGTGACCAACTCTGGGAGGTCATACTCGTGTTTCCAGCCCCACTCTCTGCGTGCGTTCTCATCATCAAAGTTCATGGGCCAGCTGTCAGCTGTAGAGCCAAAAACAGTTTAACATTAAGGAAATTTCCATAACATTTAGACCAAGCAATTAGCAACATGCACAATTTCTCAAATTATCCCATCTCAGTGAACAAACGCGTCTACAGCTGCAGAGTGGTTTTGATAGAAGCAACCTGGATAACAAAATGGCTTATTGATAGCTTAACATGAGGACACAAATTACACGATTATTGACAAAAAAAGATTTAAAAAAAAAAAAAAGCTAAGAGAAAAGTCTGTAAAAACAAGCTTCCACCGATAGGGAAAATCCGTCAGGAAACGAGTATTACTCATTGATAACTGAGGAGGCAACATTTCAGATTCAGTTCCTAAAGGATATTTAAACAGCCAATTATCTTTTTTGCACAGACGTTCTAGCAAGGAAGCAAGCACTGTATTTCACAGATGGGCAGATACTGTACATGCTATATTTAATGAAGGGTCTGGTACTGTAGCCTCACTCTGTAGTCTGGTCTCTTACCAATGGCTTGTCGCACAGGGTCAATGTTGTAGGTGACCTGGAGGTCAGGCAGCTGTTTCTGCACCTCAGCAACCAGCTCCTCAGGGGTGAAGCTCATGGCGTTGATGTTGTAGGTGCGCATGCTCAGCTGCTCTGCTGGAGACTCCATCACCTCCAGAGTGGCGCGCAGGCAGTCATCGATGTACATCATGGGCAGGCGCGTGTCTGGCTTCAGATTGCACTCAAACTTCCCGGTCTTGACAGCATCATGAAAGATCGCCACTGCGTAGTCTAGAGCAAGAGCACCAGGGGAGAGGTCACAGAGAGCAGGCTCACACGTGTCGCACCTGAAATTCATTGACAAATTACATAACTAGAAAAGCTGGTATTCAAGCCATGCAACTGTAAAAAGGATAGAATTTTCCTGCAGGTGAAATGTAATTTTGCATTTTTAAAATGATTGCCAAGCACCTGCACACTGTGCATGAATAAGGCTTAACCTATTAAAAAAATATATACCCTTTGATCCTTTAATAGATTCTAGCTGGGTATACACAATTTCAACACAGCAGCATCCAGCTGAATGCACAAAAAATTCTAAATTTCAACAATTGCACACTGTACATTACACTCAAGTACTGCGGAGAATTTACAATGTTGTGAGTGTTATGAGTGACACATTCCAAGTGGTAATAAACAGATTTAGTTCTATTTGGGCTTTAAGTTTCCCTGAGCGTCACATTTCATGCGGTCAGCTCTTCTGCAGCTGCAAGGCCTATACAATCAGTTTATGACTGAAGGTCCTTTGCAGGGAAAAGCTACACAGATCATATCTTTAGCCCACATTGCAAGCATTACTAGCTAAAGCAACCCATGGTAATAGTATTAATGCAAGCTGGTTCTCCAACTATGAAAATGTCCAACAATATGCAAGAAGTTACCAGTAAAAACTGAATTGCAACATACAGTATGTAAAAAAATAAACCTAAATATTTAACTTTCAGACATTCACTGTATGCATCCACACTCAATATCTAGCTTCCAAGCTTCAGAAAAAAGTGCTGTACAGTTCTTATGTAATAATAATACTAATATTTTGTGATACTATACAAAACTGAATTGTCTATAACATATGCAGACCAAGGTTACTGGAAAAATATAAACAGCAACCTCAGCAAAGTATTAAAGGAAATGTTTTACATGGGTAATATCCAACACAACTACCCACCAATTATACAATATCCATATTCATGATTTTTTTTAGGTCTTCTCACTGCTAAAACGAGCACAAGAAATGCGATGTTCTAGCAACTTCACTGCTCAGCGTATAAGAAAGTTGTGCATCTCACCTGTTGTTCCTCCACCTGGCTGCGAGTCTGCCGAGATGATGCCGGGGTACCTCAGACAGCGGAAATCCAGCCCGTACTTGTGATGATAGTACTGCCGAGACAGAAAAACAGACGGTTTTTGCACCCAATATGTTTACACACAAAAAAAACTCACTCCAGCGGTCACAGTGTACGTTAATGCAAGAAATCCCGAGACGCATGTGATCAATGCGAGCACTCTTTACCGAGAACATTCTAATGCGATCGATACGGAGCACATGCTCCTGACAGCCTCTGTCCTCACCTCTCCCATGAGCTCAGCGTGCACTTTGGAAACCCCATAGATGGTGCGGGGCCGCTGCACGCACAGGTCAGGGGTGGGGTTGCGTGGGGAAGTGGGACCGAAAGCTCCGATGGTGCTGGGGACGAACAGGCGCAGCCCGTGCTCTGCTGCAATGTCGAGGATGTTGTGCAACCCTAGGAGGGGGAGACAGAAAAAGACATGATGGGGCCCGTTTCTAACATGCTGCTCTGGAATCAAGTGTTCCGAAAGTAAAGTTTGAAGCTGCAAAGCCAATGTAGGAAAGGAATATTTTCATTCCCCGTTGTAATGAACAGTAGATTATTGGTACATCCCCCCCAACAAGTCCAGAAAATTTTGCTCTGAGGAAGACAAGACTTAAAATACATCTTAATAAAACTCTTTCTGAAAACTACAGTACAAATTCAAAGTACCAGAGCCCAGCATGCATTTCTGCAAGACTTCATTTTTCATTGCACTTTCCCCTTGGGCTGAATTTAAAAAAATTCAGCAGACCACTTGCTCACCAGTGATGTTCACGGCTCGCGCCAGCGACACATTGGCCTCTCCGACAGCACTGAGGAGGGCACTGTAGTGAACAAGCCAGGTGATCCGATTATTCACCACAATCTCCCGCAGGTTCTTGTAGTCCAAGATATCGGAATATATAAATGGTCCTGTCATTCATGAAACAGAGTTCAAGATTTAGAGCCACATTCCAGCTTAATTCCAAGATAAAATTGCAGATCCAACTGTCATGAACTGCCACATTCACAAACGGGAAAAGGTATCTGTAGACTCACCACTGTGGAAGACATGGCTCGGGGGCTTCCTAATGTCTGACAGGATTACATTGTTTTTCCCAAAACGTTTTCTGTGTGAATATAAAACGGGGTTTAAAGTGTAAGTATCTTCATGATTCTTGTGTAAATTCTCAGTGATCGAGGATTAACTGTGCAATGAAACATTAGCTAGATATAACTAAATAGAAATGCCTGGAATTCGTCAATACTAACACAAAGAAAATTAAACTCCTTTGGACAGTAATTTCTGCCTGCACCAGAGCTGCACAGGAAATAAAAAGGCCTTAGGCAGGATTGTTCTTAAGGCACTTAGCACTTCTGTACAACTGTAAACATTACTTCTGTATTTACATGACATAATAACTGTCCTAATTGGTTTCCATCCTGCATTAACGTTAAGAATTTCTAAGGCTCCTACCTCAACAGTTTCGCCAGGCCCACTCCCAGCTGTCCCAGACCCCCTGTAAACACAACAGTAACACCCAATCTTAGCAAAGAACGTCAGACGGTTGCCAAGGTGACGCTGCAAGGAGAGCCCTACAGCACTCCTTACATAACAGAGGACTGGTCTGATCTGGATTTTGTATAGTAACAATGAGACAGTACTTCAATACAGAGGATCAGCTTGAAGGCTTACTGCAGTTCAGACTGTACTATTACAATGATGGATTAGCAGCTCAATTGTCTTTTTTATGGTCTAAAGGAGGACCAGCAAAGTCACATTGATTTTGTTTATATTTACCATTACATTTATACAAAGCAACAACCACAAAGAAATCACATCATACTACAATCACACTTGTACACTAAAGGTTTAAACAAAAATACCAAGTCAAAATTACTGCCCGGGCTTCCAATAATAAAAAAAAATTGGTAAATTATTTTTCTGGGGGATAAGAATTAAGGAGGATCAGGATAATGAAGGACAAAAAAAAAAAAACAGAGCCATATATAAGGTAGAGCAGGCCACATCCCCTCCCTCTTGTGTCTTGGAGCTCCTCAGTCTTGAGGAATCCCTGTGGACGCAGACCGTACCTGTGATGAGGACCTTGGGGTGGTCAGTCTCCGAGAAGGACACCGAGTGGAAGCTGGCGTCTGAGGTGACCTGGCGTGGGGAGAAGCTGATGTGACGGACAGCCAGGGCCAGTGGCCGACACCCGCAGCCTGGCGTGAGCACTGTCTGCTGAGCGGCCCTGGCGAGAGCTCTGAATACCGGCATCTTCAGGCACCTGCGTGACGACAAACGAGAGGAGAGCTCACCTTTCAAGCACTTTACACCCACGAGCTTCCTCAACACGCGAAAGTGAAAAAGCTGAAACCCTGCTGGTAAAAACAAAGCCCTGAGACAAGACACAGACCTAGGCCACATGACGACAGATGCAGCTTACTTTCACAACCACTCAAGAATGGGTTTTTTTTAAAACACCTGAAAGCATTTGTATTAAGTTTTCATACCAAACACATTCCAAAGCTTCTTGCGTACAAGAAGAGACCTACGGGAGTGTGGCACCCAGCTAGGTAACCCACAGCAGCCATTACACCCCAGCGGCTCCACTACACAGCAGAAATTACTTCACCACATGAATCAAGAGCTTACAGTGCAATTTGGCCGGGACACAAGGCTTAACTTCCCTACTTTTTAACGGCTCCGTGTGATTCGTAGTGATCAAGTCATCAGGACTTCTGTTTAACATCTCATCCAAAGAATAGCACAGTGTCAACGGTAACCACACTAGAGCAGTCATTTGGAAATTCCGGCCTAAGGGGGAAAGAGTGTCACAAACTGGTCTATCAATTAAAAAATGTTCGTACCAGATATTTCCAAATTTTCAGGAAATACTCAAGATGAATAGTTGGCAGATATCACACAGTATTCCCGAACAATAATTCACACCTACAGACCTGAAACAGGAAGTGTGCAATCACAAATTTACTGAAAAAAAAAAAGAATACTGGAACCAATAACATTCGTTGTGCTTTATTGCCTCTCGGTATAAAAAGGTTGGCAAGTTATATAACAAAACTCCCTACAGGATTTTATACTTGGGAGTACAATTTAATTCCCATTTCAGTTATTACAATTTATGAATCATGTACAACATAGCTCTGATTTATCAGTGTTGTTAACTCCACAGATATGTCTATGCACATTTACCAAGAATATAGCAGGCTCTAAAATTCATCACTTGGTAACTGACTTATTCAAAAGCCTGCAGTTTGTAAAATCCAGCACATGTACACAGAGTGAATCTCTGTCTCCATGTTCTATGTCACAGTGAAAGAAGAGGGAAATAAAATAATCAGTAAACTGAGAAGACCTACTAGAGTTTCAGAGAAAGAGGTTAGGTGCTGAAATTCTCCTGGAAACACTAGCCAGCAAGATCTATTTTTATAAGAGCTTGCATACGGTAAACTCATAACTCCAGAATGCAACAGGCCAAACACTTACATACAGGTAAAGGTGAAAACAGTCACATGCATTACCATGTTAAAAGTCAAAACCTGCATTAATGGCAGCAAAATGCAATTATAAACTGTGTTTAGTACTAAACCATTATATTGATTGAAAAATTAGAATATACCATATTAATGTCAACATCCTTGCAGTTAGCAACACCACATTTCGAAAAATACATATAATTTTATCTGTTAACTTTTCACAGACTACTTCTGGTAGAATTGCCACTACACAATTCTACTGGCAAAACTGGTTTTCCAAATCTCTTAAATGCTCCACATCTAAAACAAAATGTCCTAACGAAGCACCAATCAAATTATTTCTAAACGGCAGTGTTTTCGCTAATGCATCTTTCTTAGCCTGTCTCCGAGTTAGAACATTTCAGCCTTGACAAAGATTGCAGAGCCACCCCCTACGGTATTTATAGGGCACTGCCTCCGCAGCTGACCAATCAGAAGACGCGGAGGGCGGACGCTCCCCCAGACGCTGTGCGAGAGGCCAAGGAGACAAGAAACCTCGAGACGTGCGCCCAGCCACATGCCCGCGGGAAACAGGCTGCTGACCGCCTGGGGCTCTGTTTTAACATCTCGGAAGGGCCAAATTTTATATACTGCAATTATGTATTTACCGTTAGTGCACTAAATTGGATAAAGAAGGATTATATTTAAAAAAATATATATAATCTGACCCGTTACGGACCATTCTCTCTGTAGCTGCTTTGATAATTTCGTGCAATGTGAAAGCAAGTTTAAGATACTGATGGAAAAAACCGTAGTCATGGTCATACCACCACCTAAACATATACACTCATACCAAAATAAAACATTATATTTTCGTATCTTTAAACATCTGTAACTTTCTCGGCGAATATACTTCATAGTAGATACAACGATAACCACGCGGCCGTCTCTTATTGTAAGATTTAATCTTTAGATGAAGGATTTGCATCATCCATTCATGGTCACTGTTGTGGCGAAAGTACAAACTGGTCTTTTTTTTTTTTAAATCAGTTCCCCTTTTGCGTAAGGCTAGAAAAAGAACACGTCCTAATTTAGCGGCAATTTCTTGGGCTAAAACAAAACATTGCAGTCATTTGAAATTCTCTACAAGACCGTAAACAGGTACTAACAGGACTTAAAGACTTAGTCTTTAATTTTAATTAAATCGATACTACTAACAGGACTTAAAGACTTAGTCTTTAATTTTAATTAAATCGATAACCAATTTTAATTAAAAACTTAAATTTTGGAAGAATCGTAGCTTTCTGAAACATCACAATTCAAGATTTTCTTGAACATTTCTAAATACGACAACATAGTGTACTTTTCATGCAACACGGAGACAGGGCTCTAGAAACGGGAGCTGTTCAGTCTCCCTGTATACTGACTGACTGTTTACCCGAATCCGGTTTTTTTCCCTCATGAAGAGACAGTTTGTCTCCACAAAGACCAGCGCGTCATATCGCACTTGCGGGTTTTATGCAGTGAACTTGAGTGCTCTATTATCCTCGGGCAAGGCGCTCGTATTTCTCATTTCCTGAATGCTTGAGAGAAGGATTGAGCTAGCAGGTGCGGTAATCGGGATCTCTAGGCACAGAGGGATCCAACATTGTGTGATACCGTCTTTTCCAGTCCTAAGTTTCTGGAATTGATAGCAAATCAACTAATGCAAACCTACAGTACATCAGCCTGCGGAAGAATAAGCTATTTCACAATTTACAGCCCCAAAACAACATAACTGCACATATCCAGTCAAACGTTAAATGCGTTTATAACGCCCCTCTCCTTTTCGACTTCAACCTCTTAAACTGCTAACGTTTCACCAACTGTGTGCACGTTGATAAAACTTCAGTTTTAAGTTTTGTTTTTAAGACAGGGCGCAACATTTATTGATAGTGATATTTGCTACGGATTTGCTAAGATTTTAAAAATAGTACCGTCAGAAGGGATGAGCCAATATTCTCTGAACCTCTTATCTGACAGATTATTCGATTTCGGCAGAAGGTATATGTGAAAGCGGAAAGCATTCGTGTTCTCTAACCAGAGGCCCAATCAGAGGCAGTTAAAATGCAGTGAGAAAATGTTGCCATGTACAATTTACGAGAATGTACTGCAGCCGATTTCCGCGAAAGGCTTCATTTGATTTTTTAAGGCGTATACCCACATGCTGTAGATCCTTCGTTACGTTACCCGAATGGCACAGATCAGAAAAGAATAAGGACGACTACTGTATATCAAAGAGTATAATGATAATCCACAATGGTGGAGAGCCCTACCCAAACCCCACATATATACTGCATACATTCTGTATGAAGTGAGGAATTTCACTGCACCACTCTCGTTTACTTACGTTATGGATAGATCACACATTTTACATTTTAAATCTTTCAAAAAGCCTTGATCTAGTATAAGAATCCCGATTCTTATACTAGAATTCAATTAACGAGAAACCGCAATTAAACCCATTACCAAAACTGCCAATAAGACAAAACCGACAGACTGTGAAATGAAACCTACCAGAATAATGAAGTATTTCGACTGAAATTGAGGTGAATTAATTAAATCCTGTTCCCTTCCGACTGCAAGCGGTCCCGATGCGGCTTTCTCCGTTGAAGCACACACGTGCTAACCTCAGCCTGCTCTTGCATCAGTCTCTCTCCGGTTGTCTTAATATATCTCAAACCAGCTGATTTCAACAGGTCTGCGTCCTGATTGGGCGGCACGGCGGAGGTGTGGCCCTCCGCCTTTTCCTCCCCCCCTGTGATATTAGAAGACAACACGTGGCCGCTCTGTTGCTTTTGCGTAGTCTTTTCTGTCGGGGGTTTGGAAGGGCAGGCTGTAATTTTAGGTTATGTCCTACCATAATTATGTTACTATGTTTAGCATTATATCTAGGGTTGTTTTACTTAAATAATACAATGGAAACAGAATGCACTGCGATTATTACCGCCTTTAAAACCAATCAATTTATGTTTTTACTGTAAAAAGCGCCTTTCATTTCCAGAGCACCCTCAAGGCGCTTTAACTGACCGCTGTAATTCAGCAATTTGTAACAATGGCGATGGAATCAAATGAATACGGGAATATGACATACGATTTAATTTAAACGACTTACTTTAAGTCAGTAAAATTGAACGGTAACAGCGTTGCTACCTCACTTTGCCTTGGTTCAGTTCGAGACCTGGGTACCTTCCTTGTACAGTTTCCATGGTTCCCCGGTTCAGGTTCACGCTGGTTATCTTAACTCAAGTCTACATTCTTCCTGCGCGCCCACAGATGGACTGACCGCCTGTCCGTAGCGTGGTCTCTCCTTGTACTTCGGGTTTGGGCTTCCCGTCAGCCGTGGTCTTGGCCGGAAATGGCAGGCTTTTTGAAAATCGATGCAGTCCAGTTTTTAGTCCCCATAGGATTCCGATGCAGCAGACAGTAGTATAAATTGCAGTCCTTTGTTCTCTAGCTACTGTAGAAACCCTGACCTTAAACACTAGACAAGTGTGGGACTGTACTTTTCTAATGCTTTAACTGCATTCGGTATCACAGGGTTTAGAAATGTCTGTTAAAGACACAGCAGACAACGTATTCTGTAATGTACCAGAGATTCAAATGGAAAAAACTCTGAAAAATAAGACAACACGTTGAGTGTTTATACAAAATTTTGATAAGACTGCGAAAGACAAAAGGTCACACTAAAACAAACATTTTGAAAAAGTCACCAAAAAGAGATCAGTCCAGTCATTTTTTCGTTAGTCTTTTGTTTTGTTTGTTTGCATACTTGCTACACTGTGATGACGCATTACTGTTGCTTTTTTCCCCCCCCAAAATCAACGTTTCTTGAAATACAACTGACGTTCTTTTTCGGCAAACAAAACATTTACCTCATTTACCCCATCAGCTTCATAAAGCCAGTCCTGTAACCTTATCTGTAGATGGTTCTGTACTTGAGCTTCAGTCTAAATTGAAGACCTTGGGGTGATACTCGATTCTGGCTTAACATTCGACCCACATGTGCAGCTTATTGTCAAAACATCTTTTCACCTCAGAAGTATCACTAGACTACACCCTATGTCATCACTAACTGTGGCTGAAAAGCTTTTGTGTTCTCTCGAATTGACTACTGTAATGCTCTACTTGCTGGGGTATCTAAATCTACTTTGAACAAACTGCAGTATGTCCAAAATTCAGCAGCTAGAATCCTGACCAGGTCTAGTGCAAGTGATCACATTACTTCTATCCTGGAGTCCTTGCACTGGCTTCCTGTCAAATTCCGTGTGGACTTTAAAATCCTCATGCTCACCTATAAGGCTCTGCATGGCTTGGCACCTCAGTACCTGTCTGAACTATTATCACCCTACTCCCCACCTCGCAACCTTCGCTCTTGTAATTCTGGTCTCCTAACTGTCCCCCAAACCCGTCTACATTGAATGGGTGACAGGGCCTTCTCCTGTTATGCCCCCAAGCTCTGAAACTCGCTGCCCAAGGATATCAGAGAGCCACCTTCCCTTAACTCCTTCAAATCCAGACTCTAAACCTTCTTCTTTAGAAGAGCCTTTACTTAACTGGTTCCATTCTTTACCCCTCTGCTTCTATTTTTCTTAGCACCACCATCATCGGGTCTCCTCTGTATATTGTAATTGTGTTTTGTCTTGTGTATTCTTTTTATTTGCTATCATTCTGTAAAGCGCTTTGAGAAGCCACCTTTAAAGGTGGTATAAAATTTATTTTATATTACTATTATTTAATGTTCTCTGCTGATATTATCAGCATGTTCATCTTTTAACTTAAGAGATTTAAAATATTTTTTCTTCTGTAATTAACATTTCAACTCCATATCTCAATGGTATAATTCTTAAGATGATGGAAAGTGTAATGCAGTATTGTTTTCCAACTTTTTATTTTTAACAATTGTGACAAGTCAATGTTTCAAATATGTTAAAGAATTGGCAACAAGTTTCCCAGACAAATCCTCAGTGCTTTTGTACACACATACATATACTAATGATCACTTCATCTCAGATCCCTTAAATGCAATTTGTACAGTTGTGAAATGTGAAGACAAGCCTCCACAGAACTGAGTGCTCATTGGTTGTTTTTACACATCCCACATCAGTTCAGCAAAGCAGAAAACAATCTTATCTCCCACTGCCAACAAGAGACCAATGATCTAAATTTACACACTTCAGCCACACCAAGCACAAGGATCAAGAATAACTTGTGCATTTTCTCCTTAAATCAACACATGAGACTGTTAATCTTAATAACAGTTAATAACTGTTAACTAATCTGTTTCTGCAAACAATTTATGCTAATCATTATGCATTTAATAGAACTGCCTTAACCATTTCATTTTAATCTACTGGTACCGATTCAGTTCTTACTTTGAGTCTGATAAATGCATGTAATGGATTCTGCCCAAGTCTTTTATTTAAATTGCCAATTAAATCAATTCAGAACATACTTTCAGTCTTGACAAGCCAGAGAACAGCCACTTAAACAGCAGGGCATTTACCTGAGTGATTATGAAGTAAGGTACAGCATCCTTCCCACAATTTATACCCGTGACTCTCCAGTTCACAGTTCCATCAACTGCTCAACCACATGGCTGTAGATGTAACAGGGAATGTTATAGTTCAGAAAATACAAAACCTCAAGCAACAGCATCAAGGAGTTGTGCCTTTAACCCACATGGTCAGATGGACAGCTGCCTAGTCATTTGGATGCGGAATCCCTCTATGATTAACCAAAGGCTTGCTGCAGTGGCACTGGCACTGGCACTGAAGATGGGGAGTCAGGGAGAAGTTTGCTGGAAAGGAATGGTCTCAAGGCATTTACACCACAGAATGAAGGTAATTGTTCGCAGGAACTGAAGTTTGTCCTCCTTTTTCAACTATAATTTTTGTGCTCAACAAAGAAGTAAGGTTCTGTTAAAGACATACAGGGGGCAAAAAGTAGGTCTTTGGGGAAAAAAATGCAAATGTTATGCTTTATACATGTTCCTTTATTGTACAGTACATTCCACACATTTTAGACATCACAAAACACAATGCATTAAATGTAATTACACCAACATTCAAATAATGTAAAGAAAACTTTACTTCCTAACAATATTCAGTAAGACTTAATTCTGTACATGAATGAATCCGAAAATGTGATCAAAATGAGCACCACTGGCTTGCCTGCTTTTGTCCTGATTCAACCAAACCGGTGATAGTCTAGTGCTAATTTTCCTTTGACACACATGGAGAACGGAATGACATGATGCAAACATTCAGAGACTTAATGCCTACCTCTTACTTCGGACTCAATTGACAACAAAGGTTTCATTTTGTGTGCAATTCTGAATTTAGATCTTTCCAGTTTGTAGTGTTCTGATGTGCCTTTAAACAAAACTGTCTGTAATGCATTGAAAAGCCACAGTTACAACATTTCCTGTATTTGCATACAGTCCCAGAATAACTATACCAAAAACAGACTGGAAAAGTAAATACCTCTGCAGCTCAGCTCTCAGAGACCACGGATAACTCAGCGTGACAGTTTTTCTTACAAGTATGAATATTAAGTTCTTAATATTCAACGGGCCTGTTCTCAGGATGGATAATTCTTAAGGTCTGAAGATATGCGGTCTTTCTCTGGACTGCAAACCACTGTTACTGAAACATAGTTCTAAAAGCGCAGGAGGAGGAACATACAGTGGTTGACTGACAATTTTCTATGAGAAAAAGTTTTTAAAAAGTGAGCAATTTTTAACATCAAGTTTTTAAAAAAAAAATGGTTAGACAAACATACATGGTTGACCTTTGCAGCCATAAGCGGACAAGTGACTTTTTTCAAATCTTGCAATTTCAAAACCCGAACCCGCTACTACATCATTAGGCTAAATGGTTGATGAACAAATGTCCCTTAAAAGAAACGTAGAAACCATGAGTGTGGATGGTGTCAAACACCAATTAAAGCAAACTATTACTTAAAGCAATTTAATCCTCATCTAAATTTTACTAAAAATAAATTCCACTATAAGTAAATTTAAAAAAATCCAATGACACATTTTCAGATTTTTTTTGAAATCATAAACAATTTACAGGTAAATCAAAATTCAATACAGTAGTTTTCTTTAATCCCAATGATGTTACAAAATGGTTGGTCCAGGTTTCTACACCATTAAGCTCATGAATGGACCAGATATCCCTCGAATGGGAGTTTCCCACATCTAGCAGGTTCCATGGGTGGATAACCAAGAAATCACCAGTTTCTAAAGACCTAGATCAACCTATGAACTACTGACATTTTGTGAAGCCATTCATTTATTTTGTAACCACTGCATCCAATTCAGGATCACAGGGAACCAGAGCACAGGGCAGGGTATATCCTAAACAAGACACCAGTCCATCGCGGGGCAGACAAAAAAAAAAAAGAAAAAAAAAAGACAAGCACACACTCATACCCGGGCAATATTTCCAGAAGCCAATGAACCGACCAGTATGTCCCTGGACTCAGGGAGGAAACCGGAGCACCCAGGCAAACCCAGGGAGAACGCAAACTCCACACAGAAAGCACACCAGGTACAGAACTGAACCCAGAGCTCCTGCACTGCGAGGCAGCAACTCTAACTATTGTGCCACAATTCCACCCCCGTTTTGTGTAGTTATTTAGAAATCTGAATCAGTCAGTCCTCAAGAACCACACTTCTCTTAATTGAGCACGTGACCCGCTTAATGGATCAGTAACTTAGTTCCCTTAGTTTACATAAATCAGTGGAGTGTCCATTACTATATACATAACAGGTTGTGAGACAAGACTGCACCCTGGACAGGATTCCAATCCAGCTCAGGGCACACATACACACAAGAATATAGGGGCAAATTTTGAGACCTAAATTAACAACCAGCATACCTTTGGGCTGTGGGAAGAAACTGGGGCATCTGGAGAACACCCATGTGCAAACGGTAAGAACATGCAAATTCAAAACAGAAGGCTAACCAGCCTGGCACTGAACTCAGGACCACACAGCTGTGAGGCAGTAGTGTTAAGAACCACACCACCTTTTGACCATTTACTTCAAAACATTAACCTTAAATCTGTCAGTGGAAAATTCCACAAAGCAACAACGGAATTCCTGAAATTCACACTGCTGGTCAAACATCTTAGGCATAAGTAAGAGTTACAAAATACAATTTGTATGTTATGAACATCAACAATTTACTCAAAACATTCACTGCAGCTCTTATTGTACTACAATAATGACTTTGGCGGCTATAATACAGCCTAGTGCCAAGCAATGTCATTTTGCAATACTTAATTCACCCTGGTCAAAATCTTTAGGAACTTCTTGTAGTTCATTAACACCATTTTCTCTTTTCTATACATTAAGCTTAAAGTAATCTTTTCGTACTGTGAAACACTGAGGGATCCATCTGAACTAAGTAACTAACAAAATGTCTAAATGTTCAGCAGAAGATCACAATAACATTGTGCATCTGCAAAAAAGACAGAAAATTACAAAATGCCTAAGACTCTTGCACAACAGTGCAATTCTGGTAAACGTACAGTAACGTCTCGAAAATTAAGAAAAAGGAGACTACCTCATGAAATAAAAATAACATTTATCTATAAGAATTTCAGCTATTGTGGTCACTTAAAATGTAAACAATTCACTTAATGAAAAAAATAATTGAGTTGTTGGTGATATTAAAATGCAATGATCTTTTAAAATTCATGATCTCCGTCCAGAATAGCTGAGCAATCAATCCCAAAAGGAAAGTACCAATCTATCCCAATGAGAACAGAAGCTTCTACAAGTTCCAAAATGTGTCAGGTACTAAAAAGACACAGCCACTCCCTTTTTGCAAAATTGAACCTCAGAAATGAATTTGCTTTCAAAATGAGCAAATTGTTAAAGAAATTTGATTTGAGGAAATGAGTGAATTAACCACTCAAATCATGAACTGAAAACTGCAAGAATTCTGTGAGGCAATGCACATGGGTGGCATTAATTTGGCAATTGCAATTCCAAATATTAGGAGAACATTGTGTAATAAGTAGAATATTACAATGCTTACTTACTATACACCTGAATGTTTCAGCAAGTACAGGCTAGTCAAAATGTGAATCATTGATTCTTATTAAAAAGTTTGCAAAACGGAGGCGACTGCTTATGACCAAAATAGGCAGTTCAGTCTAACTTGACAGAAACGGGCTCAAAGAATGAGAAGCAGTGCCTTAAAAAAAAAAAAGAAAAAAGATCCAGTTCTCCTCAAAATTGATTAAAATTATGTTAATCACATTCAACATTTAAGTCCTAGTTTCCCAGCAATATAGAAATTAAATTGACAATTTAACCAATTATCCTTTTTATGTAAAGGGTATTTTAGTTTTTATCCGTAATTAACAGGCAAAACTGAACCTTTGCTGCCAGAATTCAAGTAAATAAATTCTAGACTTCCAAGCCAGAACAGCAACTCTCAATCTCAGGCAGCTCCAGCCCCGTCTCTCACTGTAGTGTTTGTGGGAAAGGTGGGATTCTTAGTGTGACCACATATGGAGAGGCTCCTATATGAAAATGTCCAGAAGTGTGCAAATTTATTAGGACATCTCAAGATTTACATTTTTAAGCACTGCACAAAAAATCTTCAGTTACTTCAGCAATGAATAACTCATGCTCTCGGAATTTGACTTTCTGCCCTATGATTTCCATCTCAGAAGGAACGTCTGACTCGGTGTAGGACTTCTGCTGATTCATGATGACCTCAAGAACAACGCAGGCCCCACCTTACCTACAAAGTCTTTTTCATTTGTGAAGAAATGCCACATTTGTGAAAGTTCTTTCACCACCCACTGATTCCAATTCTGAGTTTATTTTATTTAAGAAATGAAAAAGAGAATGTAGTTGTTGTAACATTTTATATAGATCTAGATTCTTAGGCATATAAACGACAGCTACCGATCTACACCAAGGTGGGTTATTTTAATAGATTTGCACACTACATTAAGCATGGGTGTGTTCAACAGCTTGAGGTGTCGCTTAGCAAGGGTTTTTTAGCGCTCTGCACACATCTAGAGGAAGGCAGGTGCAAAGGCATGCCTGAGTGCACTCACGTGTGCTGCGTGTATTTTGTGTGTTTGAGAGTGTATGTGCAATACCTACGAGAGAAGGGGACGCCTGTATATTAAAGGAAATCCTTGGGAGGGAGTCTTTTGACATTCCGCTAGGGTGTCTCTAGCAACCCATCTTCCGTCTCCAGCTCAGCCAGCTGTCTGCGCAGGGCATTGACCTTGCTTTGCAGCTCCTTGTTGTATTCGATAATGTGCACCATCTCTTCGTATGCTTCATCCAGGCACTTGGAGGCTCGGTTCCAGCGCAGGAACACTCCTGTAGAAAAATAGAGCTACTCTATAATTCATTACATTCAAAAAAGCTTTTAAAAAACAGCAGGTGTTTAACCTTTAGCCAGATGTCACTGAGCTTGAACAATCTTCCCTAACTCCAGATCACTGGGACAGTATGGTGAGCTTTCAAAGCTACATGTTCTCCCCGTGGAACACAAGTGCTGTAGCCATCAGTCAAGTCTTATTTATTTCATCATAATTCCAAAAAACATTAAAATAATTACCGATGTTTTCAAGTTGAAAATAAAGAATACAAATTGAAAATAGCATAGCAGGCAGCAACATAACAGCCTCATTCAATACTGAATGAATTGCCTGACTTTCCCTGTCATTAGTTAATGTTTTTGAAACTGTTTGCAGGAGTTATTTGTATTACATATAAAAAGAGGCTATTTCTACCTCCTATGCCCAGAAACTGGCTCTAGTTTCCTCCACTGGACCCAGCTTTGCATAAGGCTAACTCACACACTGAGTTCACTTGCTGAATACCCAAGTCAACCCATGGCTGACCCAGGAAGTACTTGCACACAACTACAAATGACGACCTGGGTTGTAATGCACTCTGGATAACTAGTAGGAAAGGGTGGATTTCCCAGAAGGCGATGTCCACACAACTTACAGTTTACTGCAGGTGTCAACATATGGCATAACGTCCTGCGTTCTGCTGTGCAAGGACATATTGTGCGAGGTCATGCATGTTGGTATGTAGGCATGAAGTTATGCTGATGAAAGAACCTGGTGCACATTCCCATCCCTCTATAGAAACTAAAGCACGTGAATGTGTCCTGTGGATAATTCCCGACTGAAGAGACTGTCCAACCAAACTGGTTTTGCAATACTTTCCACAAGCAGCGTAAGGCGAGATGAGCTATCACACAACTAGGCAACTACATGAAATCACCAGATATAGATGTCTCATACACTGTAGCATAGGATTAACATGATAGGTTATTTTAAACATTTGACAAACTTATGCTTATCACGCGCTATTGATAATCAGCAGGGGTTAATTCTGGTCACAGTAATGGCAATACACCCTTAAGAATTTATCTATTGCAACTCTTAATTTTAAAGATTAACAAAATAAGTGCAAAATGTATTAATAAATTGAGCCCATTAAGATGGACAAGAAAGCCTTTAACAACATGTTTTTATTTTATAACCATCTCGCTATTGATCCACAGAGCCTTATGAATGCCTTTTCATTTCTCTTAAGGAACAGTCTCCATGGCGACCAGAAACACTAGCATGCTATAGCTTCGAACTCTACTGAACCAGCAAAATTTCTTTTAAGTCCTGGCAACACTGCATGTCAATATTTCACTGCAATTATCGGACAAGAAGGGAGACTATTAAAGAAATGCATTAACGTTTGAAACTGCAGACAATGTGCCTTTCCTTTCCATAATTGCTTGTGAGCCTCTCTTCTGCAAATATGTAACTACTTTTATTCATCATCAGTTTAACATACATCATCTTAGGACAAACATATCAGAATCCACAACTTAAAAAACCACATAGCCTTTTAAAACACAGCAATGTATGCTCCTAACTTTAACTATAAACACGAAGAGGCCACTAGATATTTCTCTCAATCACCTGGTATTGCTGATATTTCATCCGAAACGCCCATAATCACTGATGTCAGTGGCTAAATGCCTGGGATGTGCTTTTCTGGCTTACTGTCAACTACTGGCTCAGATATTCTTGATGGGGGTTAAAGGGGGCATTGCTGACATATACCGTATTCTCTCCAAACACAGTATATTCCCCAGGGCGTGCATCACTGTGCGGTCATGTGTAATCTCTAACCTTACTGCAAATCAGCAGTTTCGTAAACTAAAGATTATTAGCCTTTTGAACTAGGTAAATGCATTTTCTACAATCAATGAATTTCCTGTCTAACAATGACCACATTTTCTGTATTTTTATCATTTTTGTTTCCATCTTTTTCTTCTAGGTTCCCTTCACTACCCATTCCAATCTTCCCATTTAATACATCAAGAAACACTGAAAAGCAACACGTAAGTATTAGAAGCAACAGCATTTGTTGCGATTTTATTGCTTCTTGGTATATGGAAAAAAATAGACACTTGATTTTCCAAAAGAGAAAAAAAATCTAAATATTAAAGATCTCAATAAGCTATCTGTAACAGTGAGCCAATGAAACAGGATTTATTTACACTGGCTCACAGCTTGCTTGTGTCAGTTACAGATGGTTTGACACTTCATGCAAAGTACCTTTCTGCGAGGCAAACTGCAGCATTGCTGTCCTCAAGAGTTAAGTCACACAAATGTGAAGAATCTATATACTGACTAGGCTTGCTTGCCAAATACAATTATGGGGAATGAGTACAAAATATATATTTTCAGATATTTTTGCAGGGTGAACACTGCTAGACAGAATTTGGGATATGTCCTATTAAAAGACGATGACAGCTTAACTGCTGATGTTGGTGGTGATGTCACCATGGATCAGAATTATCAGTGCATTAATTCAAAACACAAGGCAAAAGCAGAACAGCAACTGCAATTTGATCAACTGCAAATTTCATTTTCAAACTCAAAATGGAAACTGCTGTTAGGTTGCAGTGCACGTTTGTGAATCCTGTGATGCAAAACTCTTAGATAATGGACTACCCAGCAGTGGGGAAATAACATAATTCCTGTGGCAATATGTTTTCAACAAACAGATTCACACACGTATGGCACAAACCGTAAAGAACTCTACAGCTTGGTCCCTACAATGAATTGTCAATTTGTCTGGTGGAGTAGTGGGGTGGATTTTGCAGGCCTTTGGGTGCAGTATTGATAATACACCCATCCACAGGGCATGTGCAGTCACCCAGTGGTTTGATGAGCCTGACGCTGATGTTATCCATATGAGGAAGCCAATCGAACACAAATTGGATGTCCTGAAAAGATGCCCGAGATGGATCTCCATCTACCAGGGGTTAGTGAACTGACTTTCTCGCGGAAGAATGGTGCCACATCCCTCCTGCAGAATTGCAGAGGCTGAAAGAGCATTTGGTTACATGGGGCCATTATGCATTTTAGCACAAAGTCTATTAAATGGCTTTACATTGGTGCTTCCATGTATTTGTCCACTGCCTGTAAACTTTTAAGTCATTTGGAAATGACTGCATATGGAGGTTTGTGCCAGTATGAAAGATTGAAAGACTGATTGATTGAACGCTACAGCAGAGGGAAATCACTCCAAGAGCCACTTTTTTGCTTTTGCAGTAGAACAGGGTAGAGCTGGCAAGCTAATTCTTATTGTATGAGCTGCACTGATACAGGAGGGGGTGCCAAGGGTGAGCAAATCAACAAACTCTAAAGAAATCTGAAGTGCCAAGTTCAACAGCAGGGTAGGTTTGCCAGTTCAAACATGTTTTTATCAGGCAGGGGTGGCTGGAGTGATGCCATCATTACATTAGGTGCTGGCATGTTTGGAAGTCTTAACTACCACTATGCGATAGTTAAAAAAAAAGACACCTTACACATCAATAGTCATGCATAAGATACAGTCATGCATAAGAAAGGCCTGACTCTCTGTGATCATTAAAAATTCCAGGGCGTTTCTCAAAAAGAGTAGGGGTGTAACCCCGGCGTCCTGGCCAAATTTCCCATTGGCCCTTACCAGTCATGGCCTCCTAATAATCCCCATCTATGAATTGGCTTCATTACTCTGTTCTCCTCCCCACTGATAGCAGGTATGTGGTGAGTGTACTGGTGTACTATTGCTGCCGTCGCATCATCCAGGTGGATGCTGCACATTGGTGGTTGTGGTGGGGAGTTCCCATTACCTGTAAAGAGCTTTGAGTGGGGGGGTCCAGAAAAGCATTAAAAAGTGTAAGCAATTATTATTATTGATTATAATTATTAAACATAAGGACATCCCTCACAGTTAAAAAGGTCAGCCATGGCAAAGGGGAAGCAAGAACAAGGCCCTGTGGGATGCATCACCAAGTCAACTGATACATTGGGTGGCATAGTTGTAGCAACAGTCTTGGAAAAGAAAACTAGATATGTAATTTTTCCCTCCTGCACTGGTCTCTAACAATTGTACAAATCGGTAGAGTGGTAGTTTTTGGAATGCACATTTTTGTTCAGCTATACAGTGCTGCCCTCTGCTGGAACAAGCAAACAACAAACAAAAGGAAATTGCTTTCCTGTAAGGGAAAGAAAGCTTTGTAACTGCTGCAGCCATGTCTTAAAAGGTACATTTTACATCCGTGTATATCCAAGGCATCAACAAGCACAGGAGCTGCTAGATACAGAACCCACCTGTATTAAACTGAACACCAGCACTGAACACAAAGTGCAACTCTTCATGCTTCCCACAAGTCAGTGGTACCACAGCTGAAATATTATATACTGAAATATATACTTCTTAAAATGGCTTTGAATTCTGTTTTTATTTTAGTCTCCTTTACAGTGCTCATGGCAAGTACCACTGCACATACCAAGGACACTGAGGAGCCCAGAGAAGGCAGGCAGGCAGTGTAGTGACAGGGCTCTTACCCTCCCAGAGCAGCAGGCTCTGTGGAGCGACAGAGGGCCAGATGACCAGGCTGTTGGCTTCGTACAGAGGATTGAGGAAGTGCTCCATCTCCTGGGGACGGTTCACCCAGGACCACAGCGACACCGTCTTCTGAGGCAGCTTCAGTTTCAGCCTGCGCACAGAACACAGCAGTCAGAGCACA